CATTTTTGGCAAAAGAACTTCCATTTGCAATGCCCAAATCAAATCTCAACTACTAAAAAGTCTCCTTCACCTATAAATCCTTCCAAGAAGGCTAAAGAACAACAAGGAATTGAGCTAGAAAAATATCAAAGCATTACATTCAAGAAAATCAAGAAATCTCTCAAGAATGTTGAGCTTTATTTTTCCTATCCTGAGAGAAAATTTGTAGTGAGTTTATCTTGTATATTTAGATCATTGAGTGATCATTCGAACATTATTTAAGCTTGTTGCTTGGTGCAAAGTGTGTGAAACACTTTGGGGTTTGAATTGAGCTTGGGTTGCTCAAGTGTAATTGAGTGTGTAGATAGACTCAAGTTGTGATTTGTACAACTTGATTTTGAGCTAGGGTTGGTGGAAATAGGTAACAAACTCAGATGAGGTTGTAAATCATTTAAAGTTCAGTCACAATAACTCGATGGAAATATGTAACAATGGAGATTTTCAGGCTGTAAATCAGATGATCCATTTCAATGACAGAGTTTATAAAAAGATGCCATTTCCTTATGTTCTTGCTGAGGAATCATTTAAAACTTTTGTCCTTAACTTGTTCGCATACTTATTAGAACAAGGAGAAGGATCACATTAAGATTTAATAAGAAAAAGTACAAGAATGTTGGTTTTGAATTCCTTACTACACAGAGTGCTCAAGCAGTTCTTGATGTGAAAAACTACTCGATTATCGAAAGATCGCAAGGTACCAACGAGTATCAAAAGAAATTATTAGGGAATATGGGTTGTGACAGATAATAATTAAGGAATGTTAAAGTGTTAATAAATATTATATCACTATTTAGTAGAGGTTGGCAAAATAAATCCAGATTGAAAATCCATACCATAAAACTTGAACCTAACATCAAATTAATAGAAAAAGTAAAAGTTTTGAACTCGGGAAAACTCGAAAATGAAATGGTCAGAATATTAAATAACTCAGATCTAAAATTGCTCGAAACCAAACACACTGGAAAAATCACAAACTCAATTTGGAAAAAACTTGTATTCCAAATAGTCTAAACATAAAATAATCCAAAGAATTGCTTGAATTTAAAATGATCTGAACTTTAATGTAACTTGAACCTAAAAAGCATATTAAAATGGTTATATTTTATGTAAAATCTAAAAAAGATTGGAACTAGTGTAAAATCAACCTGATTCTAAAGCAAAAATATTCTAATTCAAAATAAATCAAATTTAAAATGATTTAAATCCAAAATAATCTAAAGTCGAAATAATAAAGTCCAGTAATTTACCACATCTAATATCTAATAATACTTTTGTTTTATTCCAATGGGTTATTACATTTCTTTTTTTTTTTTTTTGTCATTTGTCAGCATTGTGATTTCTAACCACGAAATGCTCTATAGAAAACAATTGAATTGACAAAGAATGCAAATTAAACTTGCTTTTTGGGCTAGACGGTAGAATTTCACTATACGAGTCTTTAAGTCAACCATTAGTTAGGCCTAGGGAAGGCAAAAACACCAGAATCCGTCGGGTTTCGACTCGACCCAACCCCTTAGGGTCAAATTTTTTTTTTTTTTGAAAATCGGGTATCGGGTCGGATATGGTAAAAAAATTTTCAGGTTCGGGTCAAGGTCGGGTTTTAAGCAAATCTGATCCGATATATATAAAAAATTTATTTTTTTAATTTTATATTTAATTATATATATTTTTATATATATTTAATTTTATATTTATATTTAAAATAATATTTTATTAATTTCGGGTCGAGTCGTGTCGAATTTAATTTTATACAATATCAAGTCGAGTCAGGTTTGGTATTAAAAATAAAAAAAATTATCGGATCGAGTACGAATTCGGATATTATATATTTAAAATCGGATCAAATTCGAGGGGAGCAAAAATCCGACCCATTGCCATCACTAGTTAGGCTTAGGCCACAATTATTTTACTCATGAAGGTACAAACGTTGATGTCGACTGCAATAATTTGGTCTTTGCAAGACTCGTCAGAAGTATTATTTTCGAAGTATCGTTTAGTTTACGCAGATAACTTAATCATGACCACCAAACTGAGTCTGTCAATGATGGACTTGGACAAACAGAAGTTACAATAGCTACGGGATGGTTTGATAAGATCGTGGAAAAAAGGAAGAGAAATTTTAATTTGTGACGTGCTGCTTGGGCTTGGATTTGATCATTTCTATATATATATTATAAATTATTAATAATTTTTATATTTATATCATATTTTATATAAAAATTATTTATTATAATTTTTTAACACGTAAAATATAAAATATTTTTTTAAAATTTAAATATAATTTTTATTAAAATTTTAAATTATATCATTTTAATATTTTATTAATATCATTTACATATCGTATTTTAATTGTCAGCTTGTGTTTTTCAGACAAGTTCGTGTTAAACTAATTGGGTCCTTGGCTGCGTACTTATTCTCTACGGCATTGAGAATATGATACGTGAAATTTAGTCCTTTTCCTTCGTCACAGAAATAATAATAAAGTCATAGTCATTTCTGAACTATTTAATATTTGTCGGAGGAAAAAGAAAATTCATGGCAAAATAACGAATAATTTTGCCTTTCTCACCATTTAAAAGAGAAGAAAAAAAAAAGAATCCTATTTAAAGAAGGAATAGAAAAACATATTAAAATTTTATAAGATTGCTTATATATGGCATTTTACTGGCTAGCCATTTTCCAGAAAAAAAGCTTGTCAAAGAACAGAGTTGCCTGTTACCCGTATTCAACATTCGACTATCCAAGTTATTTTCTATTCCACAAGCTTATCAAGACTAAGCCAACTAATTGCCCGAGTTTGGCATCCGACTGCCCAATGCCCGTATTCGAGAAATTCATGCTCCCAACTACTCTATTTTCGCTTTTGGCAAGAGAACTTCCATTTGCAATGCCCAAATCAAATCTCAACGACTAAAAAGTCTCCTTCACCTATAAATCCTTCCAAGAAGGCTAAATAACAACAAGGAATTGAGCTAGAACAATATCAAAGCATTACATTCAAGAAAATCAAGAAATCTCTCAAGAATGTTGAGCTTTATTTTTCCTATCTTGAGAGAAAAATTGTAGTGAGTTTATTTTGTATTTTTTGATCATTGAGTGATCATTTGAACTTTATTTAAGCTTGTTGCTTGGTGCAAAGTGTGTGAAACACTTTGGCGTTTGAATTAAGATTGGGTTGCTCAAATGTAATTGAGTGTGTGGATAGACTCAAGTTGGGATTTGTACATCTTGATTTTGAGCTAGGGTTGGTGGAAATAGGTAACAAATTATGAGGTTGTAAATCATTTAAAGTTCAGTTAAAATAACTCGATGGAAATACGTAACAATGGAGATTTTCAGGTTGTAAATCAGATGATCCATTTCAATGATAGAGTTTATAAAAAGATGTCATTTCCTTATGTTCATCCTGAGGAATCATTTAAAACTTTTGTCCTTAACTTGTTCGCATACTTATTAGAACAAGGAGAAGGATCACATTAAGATTTAATGAGAAAAAGTACAAGAATGTTGGTTTTGAATTCCTTACTAGACACGATGTGCAAGCAGTTGTTGGTGTGAAAAACTACTCGACTATCAAAAGGTCGCAAGGTACCAACGAGTATCAAAAGAAATTATTAGGGAATATGGGTTGTGACAGATAATAATTAAGGAATGTTAAAGTGTTAGTAAATACTGTATCACTATCCAGATTGAAAATCCGTACCATAAAACTTGAACCTAACATCAATTTAATAGAAAAAGTAAAAGGTTTGAACTCGGGAAAACTCGAAAATGAAATGGTCAGAATATTAAATAACTCAGATCTGAAATTGCTCGAAACCAAACACACTGTAAAAATCACAAACTCAATTTGGAAAAAACTTGTATTCCAAATAGTCTAAACATAAAATAATCCAAAGAATTGCTTGAATTTAAAATGATCTGAACTTTAATGTAACTTGAACCTAAAAAGCATATTAAAATGGTTATATTTTATATAAAATCTAAAAAAGATTGGAACTAGTGTAAAATCAACCTGATTCTAAAGCAAAAATATTCTAATTCAAAATAAATCAAATTTAAAATGATTTAAATCCAAAATAATCTAAAGTCGAAATAATAGTGTCCAGTAGTTTACCACATCTAATATCTAATAATACTTTTGTTTTATTCCAATGGGTTATTACATTTCTTTTTTTTTTTTCTTTCATTTGTCAGCATTGTGATTTCTAACCACGAAATGCTCTATAGAAAACAATTGAATTGACAAGAATGCAAATTAAACTTACTTTGTGGGCTAGATGGTAGAATTTCTTTCACTATACGAGTCTTTAAGTCAACCATCAGTTAGGCCACAATTATTTTATTCATGAAGGTACAAACATTGATGTCGACTGCAATAAGTTGGTCTTTGCAAGACTCGTCACAAGTATTATTTTCCAAGTATCGTTTAGTTTACGCAGATGACTTAATTATGACCACCAAACTAAGTCCGTCAATGATGGACTTGGACAAACAGAAAGATCGTGGAAAAAAGGAAGAGAAATTTTAGTTTGTGACGCGCTGCTTGTGCTTTGACCATTTCTATATATATATATATATATAATATTAATAATTTTTGTATTTATATTATATTTTATATTAAAATTATTTATTATAATTTTTTAACACGTAAAATATAAAATATTTTTAAAAAAATTTAAATATAATTTTTATTAAAATTTTAAATTATATTATTTTAATATTTTATTAATATCATTTTCATATCTTATTTTGAATTAACAGCTTGTATTTTTCAGACTATTCATGTTAAACTAATTGGGCCCTTTGCTACGTACTTATTCTCCACGGCATTAAGAATATGAGACGTGGAAATTTAACCCTCTTCCTTCGTTACAGAAATAACAATAGTCATAGTCATTTCTGAACTATTTAATATTTTGTCGGAGGCAAAAGAAAATTCATGGCAAAATAACGAATAATTGTGCCTTTATCACCATTTAAAAGAGAAGAGAAAAAAAAAAAAAAGAATCCTATGTAAAGAAGGAATAGAAAAACTCTCCGATCATGATGGGAAACATTCAAATCCTTCTTACTCTTATGGTGGTGATTAGGGAAGGCAAAAAAACCCGGACCCGACGGGTTCCGGTCCGACCCAATTTTTTAGGGTCGGTTTTTTCTTTTGAAAATCGGGGGTCGGGTCGGGGTCGGGTCGGGTAGGATGAAGATAAAGTCGGGGTCGGGTCGGGGTCGGGTTTTAGGCAAACCCGACCCTACCCGACCCGATATATATATAAATAATTTTTTTAATTAATTTTTTAATTTTTTAATTATATATATTTATATAATGATATTTTTAAATATTTTATATTTAAAAATTAATATTTTATATTTAAAAAAATAATATTTTATTAATTTCGGTTCGGGTCGGGTACGGGTACGGGTTATATAGGGTCGGGTCGGGGTCGGGCTCGGGTATGAAAAAACAAAAAAAATTTCGGGTAGGGTCGGGTTCGGGTTTTTTAAGCATTATGTCGGGTCGGGTTCGGGGCAAGCAAAACCCGCCCCGAACCCGACCCGATGCCAACCCTAGTGGTGATGTTGCTGTGCAACTTTATGATGATCTTGTCTATGAAATCAACAACCAACCTTAGTACAGATCAGTTGGCTCTTCTTGCACTAAAAGAGCATGTCATTACTGACCCTCAAAACCTCCTGGCAACCAACTGGTCTACTTCGGCCTCTGTTTGTGGTTGGGTTGGCGTGACTTGCGGATCTCGACACCGCAGGGTCACTGCTTTAAATCTCTTTGGCATGAATCTCTTCGGTACCATACCACCGCATGTCGGAAATCTGTCTTTCCTTGCTAGACTCAACATTGGAAACAATAGTTTTCGTGGCTCATTACCCATCGAGTTGGCTAATTTGCGTCGGTTGAAATCTGTAAGGATGTCTGACAACAATTTCGATGGGGAAATCCCAGCATGGTTCAGTTCCTTCACTCAACTTCAAGACTTAGTTATGTATGGTAACAACTTTACAGGTGTTATCCCATCTTCTTTGTGCTCTTTATCAAAGCTAGAGAATCTGCTCTTGGCTGAGAATAACCTAGAAGGTCAAATTCCTGAAGCAATTGGAAATCTTTCTAGTTTGATAGCGTTACATTTAGATTATAATCAGCTTTCAGGCTCCATACCTTCCTCAATCTTCAACATATCTTCATTAGTAGAAATTCGTCTCGCCAACAACCGGTTCTTTGGCTTCATACCCTCCATCCCACAACTCAAGATATCTTCCCTGCAAAGCATTGATTTAACATTTAATAATCTCACTGGTCTTCCATTGGATATGTTTGATCGTCTACCAAAATTACGAAACCTTTATTTGAGTTACAATCAGCTTTCTGGAGGAATTCCAATGAGCTTATTCAAGCTGAAAGAGTTGGAAGATTTATCTTTATCATTTAATAGATTGAAGGGGAAAATACCTAAAGAAATCGGAAATTTGACTATGCTTAAGCGACTTTATCTCGGTTTCAACAACTTTGAAGGTAAATGAAAATAATTATTACTTCCTTTATCTCATATATATTTTGATTTTACATGAAGTTTAAAAATAAATAAATAAAATGACAATAAAAGTACTAAATTTCATTTTGCAGGTGAAATTCCTCAACAAATTGGCAATCTTTTAAATTTGGAGGAGATAAGCCTAACTAATTGCAAGCTAATAGGGCATGTTCCTCCTATTATTGGAAACCTAACACTTCTAAAATTGCTCGATTTTTCCAGCAATAACTTGACAGGTATCACATTTCTTTGTATCTATCTATATATGTTCAATTTTTGTATTATTCACACCTAGTCTACACTCCAGTCTTTGCGCTACAAAACCTAAACCAAAATAATCAAGGTTTCTTTTTTTCATTGCAATGATGGGATTGAGGAGATGGGAACTAGGAGGTGCATTAATTTGTGTGTGAGAGATTTTTCTTTTTCTTTTTCTTTTTTTTTTGTTTAAGTGTGAGAGAGATTTAATGGTGTATATTCAGAGTGAAAAAAAATAAAAAAATTATTCGAAATCGTAATATTCAATTTGATTCGAATCGATTTTTTTTATTCGATTCAAATCAAGATCGGATATTAAATATACATATTAGGTTCAAATTTAATTTTGGATTGGGATATGAAAAATAGAAAAAAAATAATTGAATTATATATTTTAATTAATTTTTATACATATTTTAAATTTTAAAAAAATAAAAATAATTATTTTATATATAAATCTAATTAAATATATTAAAAATTATATTAAAATGATATATAAAAAAAGAAAAAAAAATAAATTTAAAAACAAATCAACAGAACCACAATGATAAAATTTGATTTGGATTGAATCAGTTTCAAGGAAAGATCAGTTCGAATTGGATCAGGTTTAAAAATTAACAATATTATGTTTTATTCAAAAAAAATGAAATGAATTTGATCCGATTCGAACTGTTATTACCTCTAATAATCAGTTATAATTTGCTAATTTAAAAGTATATTTTTTCAATATACTTTTTCTATCAAAATTTAAGAAAAAAATAAAATAATGATTTAATGAAAATATTTTTATAAATGCCAATTTAATGTAGACATAATCCGAGCTACCCAATACCAATCCAACCTGAAGGGTCAAGAGAATCTTTATGGTTTTCATTTTCGCTCACAATGTCTTCCTTAAGCTATAATATATAAATATATATGTATATATCTTTTTCTTCTTATTTAATTTCCTATCACCTTCTAATTTTCATTTTATGATTAGAGAAATTATTTGATATATTATTAGTAAAATTTTGTAATTTTACAAGTAGAGTTAATATAATAACATAAATCTTATTTCTGTTTTAATTATTTTTTTTAATTTTTTAAAATAAATTTTAAGAAACATATATCATTCTATTAATTTCACTTATAAATTAAAAAAATATATTAACAATCTGTTTGATAATTTCTCTTGTGATTATTATCAATACCCTATTTTCTTTTGAGTCCCACCACGCTTGCCTTATTAGTTTTATTTCAAATATTTTGCACTTTCTAAGATGATATACAATTATTAAATAAATTTAAAAGTAAAAATCATCAATTCCTAAGTCAGTCAATTCATTCATAAATGAGATATTATGATTAAAATCAATCGATAAAAACAAAAGTGATGGAATCAATATTATTTTCCTATCTTTTTTTTTTTTTATAATTTCCTTCCTCATTTATTACCAAGAATTTTATTCTATTCTATTCATGAATCGGTCAACCAAATTAAGATGTACCATTTTTTTCAAAAAATTACTTAAGCTATCTCAATCGATTATTACTATTTTTTTGCCACAGTTAATTTATAATTATTTAGTTTTAACTATGTTTTTTTCTTGATTTCCGTTTGATATTTTTAATATAATAAAATATGATAAAGAAAATAATTTGCCGGGAGGGGGGGGGGGAATGTGGGAGATTAGTACTCCCTCAAACATGGTTCTTTATTGACTTTTTTGTCAAATTAACTCAGTTTTAACCATTATTTATAACAAAATTATAAAATTAAAACTTTTTAAAAATAAGATTTACAATTTTAAAATTTTAACATTTTCGAAACATATATATATTTTTAATTTAAATTTAATATAATATTTTAAAAAATGAAGGTCAAAGTTATATAAGTTGATTTGAGAAAAAAGGTATAAAGGAGACAATTATTTTGAGATGGAGGGAATAATAAATTGCATTTGCATGACTTTTTTTTATTCTTTTACTCTTCCGTGCTTGATAAAAAAAAAAAAAAAAAAAAAAAAGAGAATGGGCTTTTTTTGTTTGTTTGCTATAACTTTGAAATAATTAAGTGATCAATCTTGTTATTATACAGGTGAAATTCCGCAACAGGTCGGTAATCTTCTAAATTTAGAAGAATTTAACCTTAAAAAAAGTGATCTATCAGGGCCTATTCCTCGGACTATCAGTAACCTAACAGTTCTACAATTCTTCGATTTTTCCTATAACCGCTTGACTGGTAATATATCTCATTAATTCTTCATCTTTGTGTTTGTTTATGCATAAATATTGCAAATGTTTGAAATATTTTAATAGTATCATTATATCATTTGCACATTCTAATCATGATGTCCATGATGCATCGATAAATTTGATTTGAATTTATATTAGATTTGTCCAATTATATTTATATTGATTTATTGTTGATTTATCTAATTGGTTTATTTCATTAATTTAGTATATATAATGCATGAAATACTTGATTATGATTATAATTTGAATTTGTACATATAATTTCATAAGAAACCAGTAATTATATAATTTACAATTTAATGGAGTAAATGGATTTGAAACATTTTCAAAAAATTGTATATCTAAAAATGAAGTTTTAAAAGTCGTTGACTAAAATGAAATATTTTACAAAAATTACGAATGATAAAAGAATTTTATTCAATCAATTTATTTGAAACACTTCTTTATCAAATTAAAAAAAATAAATTAATGCTTAAATAAAAAAAATTATTAGCAGCATTTCAACCAGTTCAGTGTTCACTTCCTTACTATTTTCGAAAGAATAATATGTTAGAAGGTTCAACACCAATTACATAAAATAATAAAATTAAACAAAATAAATTCAACTTAGTTAGGTCATTGCTTATGTTAACATTTTTTTTTATGTCATTACTTAGGTTTGCATGTTAGATTTTTTTTAGCCTTGTAACTACTATAAATACCCCTTCCCATTTCATTCGTTTTGCATCAATTAGAGGAGAAATGCAAAGTGTTCTTCAAACGTTCTTCCAAGTAGTATTTTTGTGTGTGAGTTATAGTGAGTTTCTATAATTGTGAGTTACTTTTGGAGAGTACTACTTTTACTCCCAAAATATTCTACATGATAATGGACATTTCGTACACGTAATTTGTTAACATCCTTATTTCCATTTATTTTTTCATCTTTCCTTAATTTGTTATTTTCAAAAAATAAAATATAAAAAATATTATTCATCCCATAATATTTGCATTACAATTAAAAATTAATCAATTGCAATTCAAAATTATGCATGATCCAATATAAAACCCACATTTATAAGTAGTGGATCTTACATAATTTTTCACTATAAGACAATTGCAAGATCGTAATAAAAAAAATAGTAGGTAAAATGCTCACTCACTTTTGTTCTAACATTTTTCCTTCTTATAATAATCTATTAATTTAATTTTAATATTTCATTTATGAATAAATTTACTTACCCATGAATTGATATATACCCTATCTTTTAATTTATCCAATAACTATATGCCATGTCATATAAATATTTAAAACAAAATTAATGAGTCAAGTAGCATGACTAAAAGAAAGTAAAATCCAAAAACAACATGTCCAAAACAACCTTAGACACTTTGGCCATTTTTGTTTCAAAATGTAACTTTCGGTCCTTTAATCGTTAGCGTACCAATGTAAAAAAATCATAATCATTCTTAAATAGTTGAAAGAAAATTTTAAGAATTTAATTCAAATTTGTCAATTTAAAAAAAAAAGGTATAATTTTTTAATTTTATATTGCTTCTTTTTTTAATAATTTTATTAGAATAATAATTTCAATTAGATTTACATTTTTTACTTCAAAATTATTAGCATTGGCTTGTTAATAAAACAATCTTAAGCGATTAATTTCGTTCTTCATTTTTTTTCATAATGATGGATCTCTTTTATTTGTTTATAAGTTGATAAATTTGAATAAAAAATGTTTCTATAATCATTATTGAATTAAAAAATATTTTCATCACTATATAATTAATTTTTTAATTTTAATTTTTTAAAGATAATTATATTAACTCTCAAAGGCCCAAAAGTTGCATTTTTGATGGAACAAAATAGGCCGAAGTATCTTTTAGGGATGTTTTAGATTTTACCAAGAAATATAGTGAGATTTAACTACTCGCCAATCATTATTTGCACCTAGATATTATCTTGTCAAGTCACATACATCTAAGTCATAAAAAGTCACGCACTTTTATTTATCTCTCTCATTTCTTTAATTTATTGAAATTAATAATTAAAAATATATAAAATTTTTTCAATTTTACATTGTGTAAGACCCTTTTTATACATATTCTTTAAGTACAAAATTAACAGAAATTATATAATTAGGGTACCAAATGAGTATTTAATCTTTTATTTTATTTAATTGATTTATAAATAAGATATTAAAAACAATGTATCAAGAATTTATAAAAATTTGACAATCTTATAGTCATGCACTTGTTTTTGTCATTTGTTAGTGGATCTAGAACAATGCAAATGTCTCTTTTGATTTTTGTGGCAGGCGAATTACCAATTGAGATTGGCGACATGCCAAGTTTGGATGGCGTGTATTTGTCATCTAACAGTATCTCCGGTGTCATCCCTCCTCGAATATTTAATAGTTCGATTATGTGGGAACTTTCACTATCTTCAAACCGGTTCGTAGGCAGTCTTCCACCAAGCATTTGGCTTCCGCAACTTGAAACGCTGCTTCTTGGAGGAAATAAGTTAATTGGTTCATTTCCTTCTTCCATCTTGAATTGCTCTCTGCTCGTTTCCGTTGACCTATCTGGAAACTCATTTTCAGGATACATTCCTCTTAACCTTGGCAACCTAAGGCATCTGCAATGGCTCACCATAGGGGACAATAATTTCACTAGCGAACCATCATCCTCCGGAATGAGCTTTTTATCATCACTGGCAAATTGCAAAAACTTGACATTCTTGGCAATTGAGAATAATCCATTGATCAGTGGTAACCTTCTGGTTTCACTAGGAAATCTCTCTGTTTCGCTTCAAAGTTTCAGTGCTTATAGCTGCAACATTCGAGGCAGCATTCCAGTTGAAATTGGCAACCTTAGAAACTTGATAAGATTGAACCTAGATAACAATGAGCTGATTGGACCTATTCCCACCACAATTGGAAGATTAAGAAAGTTGCAGAGCCTCTCATTTCAAGACAATAAGTTAGAAGGATCCATCCCATCAGAGCTATGCGATTTGAACAGTTTGAGTTTCTTGTATCTCACAGGTAACAAATTTGCTGGGCCATTACCAGTATGCTTGGGTGATCTCGTTTCTCTTAGACATTTATTTTTGGGCTTCAATATGTTTGTTAACTCAATACCCTCAACATTGACAAGGCTTATAGATTTGTTGCAACTAAACTTGGCTTCCAATTTTCTCACCGGAGCTCTCCCAACTGACGTTGGAAAGTGGAAGGTTATTAATGATATTGATTTTTCAAGAAATCAATTATCAGGTGAAATCCCAAGCACAATTGGTGATCTCAAAGACCTAATTTCTCTCTCATTATCCGGTAATAAGCTGCAAGGGTCTATTCCTGAGTCTTTTGGTGGATTGATAGGACTGCAGTTCTTGGATCTGTCAAAGAATAACTTCTCTGGAACTATTCCTAAGTCCTTGGGGAAACTTTCGTATCTCAATATTTTAACGTCTCTTTCAATAAATTGCAAGGAGAAATTCCAATCGAAGGACCCTTTGCCAACTTCTCCATTCTATCGTTTATGGGGAATGAAGGACTATGTGGTGCACCTCAATTGCAACTCCCACCATGCAAAACTAATTCTCCTAGACGTTCTAAGAACGCTATTAAGCTTGTAAAATATATTGCATTGCCAATTGGCTCAACATTGCTAGTGGTAGCCCTGATTGTCATCTTTTTGCGAAGTCGAAAAAAGAACACAAAGCTGCCAACTGATCAAAATTTGGAAGCCTTAGTAGAATGGAGAAGAATTTCATACCAAGAGCTTCATCATGCTACAAATGGATTTTGTGAAAGCAAATTACTTGGTGTGGGGAGTTTTGGCTCAGTATACGAAGGTAGTCTTTCAGATGGACTGCACATTGCAGTAAAGGTCTTCAATTTGGAGTTACAAGGAGCATTTAAGAGTTTTGACGTTGAGAGTGAGGTCTTGCGCAACATTCGCCATCGAAATTTAGTCAAAACCATTAGTTGTTGTTGTAATGTTGATTTTAAAGCCTTGGTACTTGAGTTCATGCCTAATGGAAGCCTCGAGAAATGGTTGTATTCTCACAACTATTTTCTGGATATCTTGCGTAGGTTGAACATAATGATTGATGTGGCATCTGCCTTAGAATACCTCCATCACGGTCTGACAGTACCTTTGGTCCACTGTGATTTAAAACCAAGCAATATTCTGCTAGATGAAGATATGGTTGCACATTTGGGTGATTTTGGCATTGCAAAACTATTAGGTGATGAGGACTCAACAATACAAACCATGACACTAGCAACAATTGGGTATATGGCACCAGGTAATGACTAAATTAGTTTTAAACTTTTTAATCCCATTATGATGATTAATCTAACATTATTGTTTACTTCGATGATGATTAATTTTGATTACTTTACATGTAGAATATGGATCAGAAGGAATTGTTTCCATAAAAGGTGACGTGTACAGTTTTGGTATTCTTTTAATGGAAATCTTCACAAGAAAGAAACCTACAGATGAAATGTTTACCGGAGAAATGAGCATAAGAAAATGGGTGAATGAGTCATTACCTTATGCATTAATGGAAGTTGTAGATACCAATTTGCTAAGCAATGGAGAGAAAGGAGACATTGCGACAAGGGATTGTACATTATCGATCATGCAATTAGCGATTGAATGTTCAGAAGAATTACCGGAGGAGAGGATTGGTATGAAAGAAGTTGTCGCTAAACTAAAGAAGATCAAAATCAAGTTTTTAAATGAATCAAATAGGCGCCCTCATGAAGAGACTCGTCATGTAGCTGACGTTTCTATCTGACTCTTTTGAGCTTATGGGTTTGTTTCCTAAATTTTCTTTCTTGTAGAAACTGTTCAGAATTCGAAATTAGCCATTGTTTAAAGCTTTGAGGCAACAACTTCCTTCCGAGACGAATCTGTCGTTTCCTTCTGTGCTAGAAATTAAGAACAGAGTTCCTCATAAATGTGTTTTTGATTCTCTGTCCATTTGAGCTTCTAACTTGGATGATTAATTGCAAATTTGGATAAATTTAGTTTGTAGTTACGTGTCTGTCTACTACACCCTCAAGACCTAAAAAATCCATGAATTTTTTGTCTAACTAAAAGAAAATTCGTGTTTATGAGTTTGAATTTTACACAATTTATTCTTATTTTGAAATTCAAGTCATCATTTTCAAATTTAAATAAATTTCCAAATGTAGCATGGTGAAATTTTGATTCCAAATGCAAGCATCATTTTCATATTTAAATTTACTACAATTGCAAATTTTGATTTTCATCGTGAGTAGCAAACAATTTTTTTTTCTTTCTGCGTATATTTAAGTATTGAAATCATTAGTGTCATAGACCTATATATTATATCTTGAAATTTTATTGGATGAAGAGAAATTACCATTATATTCAATTATTATATAAGAAATAAATTAATTACATCAAATAAACAAATCGTTGTATAGCGGGATAAATATTAATCATCTCACAATTTTACTTTCAAGTAACCTCACCACCAAATGGTGTTGGGAAATCAACACGCTTGCACGGTACTTACATATAAAATAATAAGTTCAATATAAAAATAAGAACATATAAATATATTTGTTTCAGTAAATAAATTTTTATAACTGTGAAACTTTTGAAATAAAAAAAATCACCAAAAATTTTTTACTTAAAACTTAACACAAAACTCAATTATACATTTTTAATAGCTTAATCACTTAGCTATTCTTTTAATATCTAACTATTTGAAATTATCAAACTAAAACCAAAACATTTTATTTATAAGGGTAAAACCCTTTATAATTTTATTAAACTCTCGATATGAAATATAAGACAAATTCTCAACTCTTATAACTTAACTTTTAATGTGAAAGTAAGAGACTTCAACAAATTTTCCCTTGACTTGAATCCCCAAATAATAGTTACAAAGTTGACATGCTTGCCTTTCTTCTTTTCCTTCATCACAAAATTCCCAACAATTAAGCCTCTATAAAGTATGTACAAAGTGATTTTTTACCTATTCTCTTGTAAAATTACACTACTATTCTTGTACACTTTGCACCAATCACTTCGTTCATAGTATGTATATCCACGACAAGCTAACTCACTCAAAACAATCAAACTATAGCTACAACTCTATACATACCTTACATGACAAAGCATTCTAATAAAACCATTGTGAGATCTAAGGCTAACACTCCTAATGCCTTGAATCTATACCTTTTCATTGTTGGCAATCATAATATCTCCATACTTTTCATTCCCTTCCAACTCCACAAAGTAACTCCTATCATTGCAATATGAACTATAGTAGTTAAATCTAAAACCCAACCTTTATCACCTTTTAAAGTCATAGTATCATCCACATAAGTCGTCAAAAGAACCTTATCATTATTGGACATAATAATAGTAGTATCACACTTTCCTCATCTGATTTCTTGTCATTTGCCCTTTTGAAAGCAAACATATCCCTTTTCAGCTTCTTGTAGCACATTTAGATATATCCATTTTCACCACAATAATAACGTTTTATATCACTATAATCTCTGTCTCTTGACTTGGATTTCTCTTTTGATCCATCAACCTTTTTTTTAGTCTTCTCTCGATCAAAATCCTCTACAGTTAGTGCAGTCCCTTCAGGTGTGAGTTTTGTATTCTTATAAACCTTTCATTCTCATGCAATAGGGTAGTCACATTATTCAATTTTAAAGTAGACCATACAATAGGGCAGTCATATTATCCAATTTCAAAGTAGAGCTACCCACCAACAAAGTTTGAATTAAAGATTTATAGGACTTAGACAAAGATAACAATAAAATTAAAGCCTTCTCTTCATCTTCTAACTCATCAATAGGAAATGGCCAATAATTGAGAAACTGACATATTAAATTCATTCAAGTAATTATGAATACTCATACCTTTTTTTATGTTTAGATAGTACAAATCAATCTTCAAACATAATCTGTTAGTCAATGACTTCAATACGTAAGTATCCTCAAGCTTATCCTACAAACTTTTTGGAATACTTTTGAGGCTAGCACTAATTTAAAAGTATTAATAGTTTTTTTCGAAATTCTATTTTAATTATTATTAAGCATTATCTCAAGCTTACTACTCTCTAGTGCCTGATCTAACCCTTATTGTATTACTAGATCTTGAATCATATTTTGCCATAACATAAAATTACTCTTTCCATCAAATAAAAGAATCTCAAATTTGGGCATAGGCATACTAAATATACTTTCTTCATACATTTTGAAATATTTACACCGTTTTCACGATCTCTTAGGCTTACCTCTTTTTCCCACGAATTTAGCTCTGATACCACTTGTTGAAAAATTAACATACATGCACAGCACTCACGCATAAAATAGCATGCTCAAAATAATAATAAAACACATAAATATATTTGTTTTGGGCTAACGCAAAATGGCTTACTCCAAACCCAATTCACTAACAAATAAGTTTTTACAATTATGAGATCTTTAGAATGAAAAATGTCACCAAAAACTTCTTACTCAAAATTTAACCAAAAACTCAATTACACAATTTTAATAACTCATTCACTTAACTATTCTCTTGGTGTTTAATTATTTGAGATTATCAAACTAAAATCAAAACATTTTATTTATAAGGATAAAACCCCTTATAATTTTACTAAACCCCAACAAACTTTTAACTCTTATAACTTTTCTCAACTTTCAATATGGTATTAAGAGATTCAAGACAAACCCTTACAAATAGTACTATTTTAGACATGTATATATGATATATTAGTTAGGGAATTTTTTTTTCTTTTGTATAAAAGAGGTCATAGCCTAAGATAGGGAAAAATGTTGTTGATGCTAAAATTTAAACCTCACATATTAAATATCGCCTTTTAAAGATAGTTTTATGATCCAACTAAGTTAAATCTTATATTCATTTTCATGTTTTCTTTGATCATCATATTTTCTTTTTCCATTTGATTTCCTCAATTACCGAAGGAAAATGGAGGAAGAAACTTACTACATGCACCTTATGTGCGAATTAGCTCTATCAATCTTTTCACTGGTACTTAACTTAAAAGCCAATATATGTTGACCTAACTTAAAAGCCAATATATGTTGACCTACTTTAAACTTTGCCGTTTCTTTAATACTTATTTTCTTTTCTTTAATTGTAAACTAAAACCGTGAGATAGCTATGTTCAATTTCTAATTCTAAAGGATTAGAGTTGATTTCATGTTTCTGGTAAGTTGCCAGAAGTCATGACCAGCATTAGCCTTCCTCAAGTTTGATTTATGACAATTTTTAAGCATTGAATATTTAACTCCAACAACCATTCTCTTGCACACATTAAACCAGCAAAGCTGCTAGCAAGCCACCAATTCATGGCTTCCTTTCTCTTCACCTTCCCCTTCTTTCTCTTGTTGTTCCTCTACCAGCCTCTCTTCTGCATGGCAAATCTCCACAAAAGCAAGAATCTCCTCAGATCAAATCTCCTTTCTCAACTAACCAGCCCAATGCCTTCCAATGACAACTTACCAACTCTCTACTTTGAAGTAACCAAACCCACCAAACTACCAAACACTAAACCATGTTCATACCTTGTTCTTCAGCATGATTTTGGCTTCACTTATGGAAGACCCCCGGTTCTTGTAAACTATACCCCTCCTGAATGTTACTCTCAGAATTTCGCCAAAATTGTGCTTGAATGGAAGGCAACCTGCAAAGGGACACAATTTGATCGCATTTTCGGGGTTTGGCTAGCCCGTGTAGAGCTCCTTAGGGGCTGCACAGCTGAGCCTACATCAAATGGAATTGTTTGGAGTGTTGAAAAGGATATAACAAGGTATTACTCATTGCTCTTAAAGAAGGGAACACAAACTTTAGCTGTTTTTCTTGGTAACATTGTGGATGGGACTTATACTGGAGTGTACCATGTTAATTTAACTTTTCATTTTTATCCTGCTGAAAGCAATCTGATTGATGAGAAGCAGAATCTGAATAACTTACCTTCTAAATATTATTCAAAGGCTGATCTGATCTTACCTATTTCCCGAGATCTGCCACTAAATGATGGCTTGTGGTTCGAAATTCAGCATTTAAATGATACTAAGTTGAAGAAATTTCAGATCCCCCGAAATGTTTATAAAGCTGTATTGGAGGTTTACATATCTTTTCATGAGAATGATGAGTTTTGGTATGGAAATTTTCCAAATGACTACATTGCTGCAAATAACCTAAGTAACACTCCGGGAAATGGACCATTTAGAGAGGTTGTAGTCAGTCTTGATGGTGAAGTGGTAGGTGCAGTTTTGCCATTTACTGTGATCTATACAGGAGGAATTAATCCCCTATTTTGGATCCCCATTACTGGCATTAGTTCTTTCAACCTTCCTTCTTATGATATCGAGATCACTCCATTTTTAGGAAATATATTGGATGGAAAATTCCACACTTTGGGGTTCAGTGTTACCAATGCCTTAAATGTCTGGTTCATAGATGCTAATTTGCACCTCTGGTTGGATAGCAGGAGTGTGAAAACAGAAGGGAAACTTCTAAACTGCAATAATAAGGCAGTCAGTGTTTCTGAGGAATCAGATTTCAAGGGCTTGAATGGAAAATTCTTGACAAGTGCAAAAAGGTTCATATCTTCAATTGGATGGATCAAGTCTTCCTATGGGAATATCACAACTCATTCAATTCAAGAGTTCAGTTACAATAACTCGATGGAAATAGGTAACAATGGAGATTTTCAGGTTGTAAATCAGATTATCCATTTCAATGACAGAGTTTATACAAAGATGCCATTTCCTTATATTCATTGTGAGGAATCATTTAAAACTTTTCCCCTTAACTTGTTCTTGTACTTTTCGGAACAAGGAGAAGGATCGTTCCTTTATGAGACGAACGTCACATTAGGATTTAATGAGAAGAAGTACAAGAATGTTGGTTTTGAGTTCTTCATCAGCTCTCTCCAGAATATACAGGATGCGCAAGCAGCTCTTGATGTGAAAAACTACTCGAGTATCAAAAGATTGCAAGGTACTAAACAAGTTTATGAATACCATGGAAGTGATTTATGCTACTCCAGGAACATAAGCAGCTCCAACAACATCATTGACTATGATCAAATGAGTAACTTATGTGATAAAAATGCACTGTCACTTTCAGATTTTGAGCCCAGGTCACTAAAAGGTCTGCAGCATTTTCCTGCCAAGGCTTTTCAAGAATTTGATCATTGATGTTTAGTAATGAAGGGGGACTCCGAATTCAGTTGATTCTTCAGCTGCTCAATAAAGGTCTATTCATTTTTGGATATTCCAGAATCCTTTATGTACTTAACCAATCAAAATGTAGCTGTGATATCATTTTTACATGAATTTGAAGCAATAGTTCCATCTTTAAATTTCTTTTTCTTGTTCTGTTGCATTTATAAGCAATAAATATTAATAGCTGCAAAATGTAATGGACTCTGCATCTTTTGGTTGGACATGGTGGGATTATCAAGTTCTAACATGAAAGTTTCTCCCAATATGATGATTTAGAGAGCTTAGAATTCATATTTAGCCTGATAATCATAGCAGAATTATGCAGCTGACTGGCGAATATACCTTTTTTTTTTCCCCTTCTGACTGGTGAAGGAATACAAAAGCTGAAGCTCCAAGGAAATTCTGAAAATTTTCAGTAATTTCATAAACTTAAAACTGTTAAGCAAATGTGTTTGAATTGATTTATTTTGTGACTTTCAGCGTCTTATTCTATGGCATGCATGCTTTATCCATTACGGTAGATCAGGTAAGCAGAAAAAATTATGAAAATGAATTGTTAATTTGATCATTAATCATTCATGCTCTTTTACATCATAAAAACTTGACCCAAAGAGTACAAATCTGTTTTTCCCTTGTTGTTTTTTTGCTACTTACTCGTACTCTTAAATTAAAACCATCAAAAAGTAATGTAAGCACGTATGTTTAAAGAGAGAAGAATAGAATATCTTTTTTTTAATTTAAAAATTCAACTTATGGATGAAAAAAGAAAGGAGCAAAATCTTAAGAGGTCAAAATTGAACTTCTGTGAATGATGTAACATTTACATTAACAAAATATTAAGTAAATTATTTTAATTCTATTATTTTTATCCAAATATCATTAAAATTGTATGTATAATGATAAAATATTCAGTGAATTATTTTAATTTATTATTTAAGTTTTTTTAAAAAATAAAAATTAAAAGCACAATGTCAAAATTCAATAGAATTGAAGTACATTAAGAAGATTTAACATTGAATCATAATAATGTAATAACAAATTTCATCTTAATTGCAAATATTTTTTTATTTTATGTAAATGCAATAAATCATTGGTCAAATATCTAGATCAGTGGATGATATCATAATAAATACCTTTCTTAATGCTTGGTATGGCAATGGATCATCCAATCAAAGAGCTAATTTTGATGGTTTTTTTTTTTTCCTCCTAGGCTCAAAAAAGAGGAGCCAACTCATCTAATGTTGGCCAAAAGAACACCCTGTAATCTACTGTCATCAATTGTCCTTTCTCCTCATGTCAGATTTCCTTCTGTCTTTGCATTCCTCCGTCCCCCTTTTCCATTCGAAGTGTACCCTTGTTTTTCTCCCCAATACTCACCATTTCTGACTTTTTCTTATATTTTTCCGTTCAAAAAATCTTCATAGTCATAGACATTGTTTTTAACTCCAAAACCAAACTTATTTAGTACCCTTCAAAGCAGCGGCTTCCCCTACCTACCACTCCACACCTTCCATGGCTTCCTCTTTCTCCCCTCTGATCTACTTTCTTCCCCTTCTATTACTTGACCCTCTATTCAGCCAAGCCAATCTCCACCGTTCGAAAACCCTCCTCAAATCATCCCTTATGTCCCAACCATCAACCAATGCCACCATCCCTCCAACTCTCTTTTTTGAAGTCACCAAACCCATCAATGTCCCAAACACCAACCCTTGTACCCTGTCTGTTCTGCAACATGACTTTGGTTTCACTTATGGGAAACCTCCTGTTTTGGCAAACTACAACTTTCCATCTGATTGCCCGCATCAGGAATTTTCCAGGATTGTCCTGGAGTGGAATGCCACGTGTAAAGGAAGACAATTTGACAGGATTTTTGGTGTTTGGTTATCTGGGGTGGAACTTCTCAGGAGCTGCACAGCTGAGCCTAGAGCTACTGGGATTGTTTGGAGTGTCAAAAAGGATGTAACAAGGTATTCTTCATTGCTTTTATTGAACAAGACTCAAACTTTTGCTGTTTATTTGGGAAATCTTGTTGATCAAACTTATACTGGTGTTTACCATGTCAATGTAACTATTTATTTTTACCCTGCTGTGGAAAAAGTGAATCATTTTGACGAAAAGTGGGAAAATTTAGGGTCTGGGGTTGGTTCTCAGGCTGATTTGATCATACCCTTTTCACGGGATTTGCCATTGAATGATGGTTTATGGTATGAGATTGAGAATGCTACTGATGTTAAAGTGAAGGAATTTGAAATTCCTCAGAATGTTTATCGGGCTGTGTTGGAGGTATATGTGTCTTTTCATGAGAATGACGAGTTTTGGTATGGAAATCTTCCGAACGAGTATATTGCTGCTAATAATCTTACAGGTTTCGCAGGGAATGGACCTTTTAGGGAAGTTGTGGTTAGTTTGGATGGTGAAGTGGTTGGTGCTGTCTGGCCTTTTACTGTCGTTTACACAGGAGGAATTAATCCTCTCTTGTGGAGACCCACTAGTGCTATTGGTTCATTTGATCTTCCTACTTATGATATTGAAATTACCCCATTTTTGGGGAATATATTGGATGGGAAAACCCACAAACTAAGTTTTGGTGTTACAAATGCCTTGAATGTGTGGTATATTGATGGCAATTTGCATCTATGGTTAGATAGTAAGAGCGCAAAGACTGATGGGAAGCTGTTGCAGCATGATGTTGTTCCGCTTGGTGTTTCTTCTGTGTCAGATTTTAAGGGTTTAAATGGAACATTTGTTACAAATACAACCAGGTTCATATCCTCAACTGGATGGGTCAAGTCTACTTATGGAATGGTCACAACTACATCCATTCAAAATTTAAGTTATAGCAACTCCATGGTGATGGGCAAGGATGGAAATCTGCAGATTGTGAATCAGACAATCCATTTTGATGACTTTGTTTATGTGAAGATGCCGGCCTCTAATGTCAAATCAGAGAAATCACTCAAGAGGTTTCTTTTCTACTTATACTCTGACAATCTTGATCAAGGAAACGGAACTTCATTGTCTGTAGCTAATTTTACATTGGGATTTAATGAGAAGAAGTTTAAAGATGCTGATGCCAGGTCGCCCAACAGTTCACTCAGGAATTTGCAGGAAGGAAATGGTGTTATGGTTGTAAAGGACAACCTGGTTGTCAGCGGAGTGGCAAGTACCCAACAAACATACAATTATGATGGCAGTAAATTTTGCTACTTTAGGAACGTAAGCAGCTCAAACTACACCATTCTTTATGATGAAGTGAGAAACACATGCAATAAGAGAACAAATTCTCATTTTGGATTTGGCCTTTATAGATGGTGGCCTTTTCTTGATCGAAAAGCTTTTCTAGAATCTCATGTAATTGATCCAAACGGAAATTAGTAATTTGACTCTTTTGCTGCTTGAGTTGGTTTATGTGGAGTTCTCCAATTAGATCTTTCTAGACTCCTGCATGTGGATGCTCCAAATATATTGTAAGTGTTTCCATTTCTTTAAAAATTCATTGTGAAGACGGATGAATTTGTAAATACTCCTGTATCCTTTCTCTTTTCACTTTTTTGCTGCTGAATGAACTTTGGTGTTTCTTTTAATTGGATTTTAGTTTGACTCTTCATCCTAACCCTAAGCTTTTATGATATATTACTTGACTTGCACCAGAGATTAGTTTATAATGGACTTCTTTAAGTTTTATGAAGTAGAATTTTGCAACTGAATGCCAAGTATATTCTAGCTGATTCAAGATCTAAGTATATTCAGAGATTTCTGGTGTATTATACTTCCATCCATTGACTTTATAGCATGTTTAATATTCTGTCTCAATTATTCCAGAATAATCTAGTTGAAGTGAAATTTTGATCATTTATCTTTGCCATTTATCTTTGCCAATCCAAGACTCTAGCTGGTGCTATGTTAAGAGTATGTGGCAGGCACTACTTGTGCAACTGCCAGATATATGTATAATAATGGAAAGGTCATTTTTTCTAACATAGCAAAAATATGGTTACTGTGTTTCCTTTTTGCCATCACTATTCTTTGTCAACAATAATATCTTTCATTTGGATTGTAAACTTTTATGTCACTTGTTCCTCACATGGTCATGTATATTCTTTGGTCTTCAATCTGAAGTTCATTATCTAAGTACTGTTAGGGCTGTGTATGTTCTTTGTAATGGCTGTTGCATTTATGCCATCAGTTGTCTTGCTAAAAGACATTGTCCTAAAAGATTTTTCCAGTTATTCATAATGTATCACAGAATAGGACAGAAAAAGAAGTGGTTTAGTAGCCAGTAGACACTGGATTGGTGCTTATTTGAGTAATATTTACTGATTAACGGCCTCGAGGATTATCATTTCTTCCTCGTACTTGTTTATTCACTGAGCATCATTGTAAAACTAGAATCTCTGTTAATTATTCATGATGGTTGCTGTCAATTTTGTCCAACATTATAGTACTTGTGCTGTTGTGCAAGAACAATGGCCGCATCATGCGATATTTTAGGTACTTAATATTAACTACTAAGACCAAGAGTCATTGTTTGAAAATTTAAGTTATTACCAAAGAGCTGATAGCTCAGTGGTATTGGAGTTGGCTCCAGGGCTGAGGGTTTCCAAGGTTGAGGGTTTTGAGTTCTAATCCTAGTTAGTTGTAGTCCAAAGACCAATATATATATATATATATATATATATATATATATATTATTTAAAATTATTGAAAATGATCAATATATGGATTTTTCGGTTTCTTGTTCATATATGCTTGACTGGAAGCAAAATAGGGTACTTTGCATAAACTAGAAGAGGCATATAAACTTTTGACCAACAGTTGATCTCTATGGTATCGGGATGAATTGGAAATGCCATTCCATAACTACAGCTGATTACTCTCTATTGTAAAAGGCTGTTATGAAATTCCATGGATAGAGCATAGGATTGTTTCCTGTCAATAAAAACGCTTTCATTTGATATTTGATTAAGTTTTAATGCAAGAAGAGGAGGCATGTGGTTAACTAAAACCTTGCTTCCCAACTCATCCTTGTCAAACTATGTTTCAGTCTGTAAAAGAGTTAAAAGTTCCCTTGAGCATTTTTTTTTTCCTTTTTTCTTTTTTTGGGATAAAATGAAATTTCCCTTGCACTTTTAAAGTGGCATCAGCCAAGCCAAAACCAAATCAATAAAACTATACTTCAGATCTATCAAAATAAATAATTAATATGATCTCCACTTATTAATCTAGTGGCTAAGGAGATTTTATGAGAACATATAGATTTTAATTTCAGAGTTAGGATTTCCTCACTCTTTCCTCTTTGTAATATCAATACAAAAATTATTTTCTCTCACAAGTGCTGAAATATACATTGCAAATTTTGTTCCATCACAAATACCACCAAATTTATGCTTTTAATATACAATAAATGTAAAAGTAACCATTCAATTATCATTTGCATCACAAACCATAAATAATGTCTAAGAAACCAATACTAAATTTTTATCTTTTCAATATATGAACATACTTTTCACCGCAATTCGTTTCATTAATTTAAGCTTTTTATTACAATTAACTTGAAAAAAAAAAAGAGTAAAATAAAATGCATTGCAACAAATTTCTTTTTCTTAAAAAAAAAAAAAAAGAAACCTAAAAAGAACAATAAAGCGCAAAAACACAGCATCTACTTTAAGAACCCATTATAGGGCCCTGTTTATCCCACATTCCGACGTGGCAAGATCACAACCATCAATTTAACATATTATACCAAGTCGATTTCTTTTAAAAGATAAGGAAACAGAGCCAAAGAACAATAAACTTCCGCCCACGCCCCAAAAATTCTCTGTACCAATTTCTCAAAAAAACAATGAGCTTCTTTTCACTAACAAGGTCAAAATCCCATTTCATAAGAAAAAATATTTAGGCCTCAATCTTTGAAAAGTTTTCTTCTGATTTTAATCTTTTTTTTTAATGCAGTGTTTGCAGTTCCTTGGCAGTTAAATCCACAAGCTTGACAGTGCAGTTGGGTTTTCAGTCGAATGAAAGTAATGGCTTCCCAGGAGGCTTTGTTTCATCTCTTAAAAAAACAAAAATTAAGAAGTTTTCTATAGCTTGCTCTTCTTCTACTACTGGTAAAGTTCACTTCTTCACCTCTTTGTCCTTTTTTTTTAGTTTGATTTCTTTATTTTTTATATTTGGGTTAAATTTAAAATGGGTTGTTTATTGTTTATTTATTTGATTGGTTATTAATTAGAGTTTTTATGTTTTTGCAATTTTGGGTGTTTAGTAAATATGATCAAGTTGGTAATTTTAGGAGAATTTTGATTTAGAATTGAATGCATTTTTTCAGAAGCTAGAATTGTCACCTTTATGAAGGAAATGGGGTCAGTTAAAAATTTGTTATCTGGATGATGAAGATTGTTTGTTCGGAAAATGCTAACTTGGTTGGAAGATAAAGCCTGGCCATGATTGAAATGGATTTGCATTAGTTTAAAGTTATGTCTTTGAGTAGTGTAATTGGTGAAGCGTGGATGGGGATTGATAACCTTTGATTTATGCTGTAAAAGGTGGCTGCGAGCATTAATATCTAATTGTATGATGATGAAATTTTAGAATTTTTTATTTTTTTGGAGAGATGATAATATGATAAATGATGTTAGTTATAAAAGCTGTGAACTTTCATGGCAATGAAGAATCAAGGTGGGTATTATATCAATTAGGGATACCTGTATGAATTTGGCCATTACTTTTCCTTGCCAGTGGAAAAGGCATTTTTGTAATGATGTTGGTATGCCAATGATGGCAAGAACATTCTTGTCTTTGGACTTTAAAGATGTTTCAATGTAATGCTCTTTATCTCAATTCATCTTTTATTTAGATCCATTGTTGGTTAAGGCTGCGAGAGGAGATCCTGTAAGTCGGCCTCCTGCATGGATGATGCGGCAGGCAGGAAGGTATATGGCTGCTTACAGAAAGCTTGCAGAGAAACACCCATCCTTCAGAGAGAGGTCAGAGACAACTGATCTCATTGTGGAAATTTCTTTGCAACCTTGGGACGCTTTCCGTCCTGATGGAGTGATAATTTTCTCTGATATACTTACACCACTGCCTGCATTTGGTGTCCCATTTGACATTGAGGAAGTTAAGGGTCCTGTTATTCAGTCACCAATTCGCTCTCAGGATGGCTTGAGGGCATTGCATCCAATTGACTTGGAGAAACTACATTTTGTTGGGGAATCCCTTAAGATTTTGCGCCAGGAGGTGATTCTCTTTTTTAATTGAATGCATTATAGATAAGGTTGTGATTACTAATGTTCTACAAATTTTATAAATTGAGTTATAAGTTATTCCTTTTTGTCTAGGTTGGAGATCATGCTGCAGTGCTGGGTTTTGTTGGAGCACCTTGGACAATTGCCACATATATGGTAGAGGGAGGTACAACCCGCACTTATACAACCATAAAGAGTATGTGCCACACGGCACCAAATTTATTGAGGGCTCTTCTTTCTCATTTGACAAAGGCAATATCTGAGTACATTATTTACCAAGTCGAATCTGGTGCACATTGCATACAAATATTTGATTCATGGGGTGGACAACTACCACCTGATGTGTGGGAGCAATGGTCTATGCCTTATATAACAGAGGTAATTTGGAACTTAGTTGATTGGATAAAGCATCATTATATCGTCTTAACTGAATCACTTTCACCTTATTGTATAGAAATTGAAGATCTCATTATTTTTGACATAAAAGTAACGGAACTATGCATAAAATGAGTAAAAAAATTCTCATCTAGTTTGCCTTGACTGTTAGTGCTATTGTTAAGGTCGCTAAAGTGACTATTTTCAAAATATTTATGATGCAGCAGCCTCCATTGGGTTGCTTTTGTACTTACTTTTTGCTTCCTGAAAACTTGGTCTAACGTGAAAGCAAAATGTAAAAAACAACATATTTCATAAAAAATGAGTAAATGATTAAAATGTAACACCAATTCAAGTATATTATTTGATATAAAACTGCAAACATGCTCTGTTTTCATCCACGAAAGTTAAAGTTTTTAAATTTATTGTTTCCTCAAAATACTGTTTGCTTGGAATTGTGAAACTTCAACCAAATAGGGGTATGAAATTTGAAAATTTATTTATTATAAGGGAAGAGCCTACTTTTTATTAATTATATAAAAAAGAGGAGACAGAGGCATTAAATGATATTCTCTTCCATGACTTGTTACGGCTGGCAACCGACTTCTTTTCTGTAGTTTGAGAAATTTTGCCTTAGATAACATGTTTCTATACCTTTTAATTTCACCCTTGTACTCAATTACTCATCTATTGGGTTCCTGAAATTGCAGATTGTGAGTGTAGTACGGACTAAATACCCTAAAACACCTCTTGTTCTCTACATTAACGGAAATGGTGGGCTCCTTGAGCGCATGAAAGGAACTGGTGTTGATGTGATTGGACTTGACTGGACAGTGGATATGGCTGATGGAAGGCAGCGTTTGGGTAACGATATCAGTGTGCAGGGAAATGTGGACCCTGCTTACTTGTTTTCTCCGCTTCCAGCAGTGACAGAGGAAATTCAAAGGTTTGTCTTGTCAATTGTACTTTGTTTTCAAATTTCCTTAAAATACAACTTGGAAAACTTGCCTGCTCGTATCTATATTTGAACGTTGAGTCTTGTTTATTTTGTTGCTAATATTGTTATGGGTACAAACACAAAAGTCACTTGATTAATAAAAGATGGTTCGGGTAGATTTATGGTCAAGGCAAGTGGTAAGGGGGGCGTCCTTACTCCTTATAGTGATAGCTGAAGTTGTCCCCCAGTGGCCCCCACCTACCATCAAATAAAATAAGGGGGAAATTGCTCATAATGAGCACCTTATTTCAATTTAAATTGACTTGATTTTATTCTTGCAAAAGTTAATGTACTTAATTTGAGGACTAAGTGTCATCCCGTGTGTCTGACCTTGCAACCACGTGTATTGAATTGAGGAATATTTATCGATATGTATGTTGGTATATTCAAAGGCATTAGAATGGCCAATGTAAGAAAATCAGTCTGAGTCACATAGATTCAAGTGTGTAAGCTTTTGAATCTTGAATTTCTGTTTCTGAGTTAAATATAACTTAAAATAAGATTCTAATTGATCCAGTAGTTTAAAATGGTGCAATCTATTTTTCAGGGTTGTTAAGTGTGCAGGAACACGGGGGCACATTCTTAATTTGGGTCATGGCGTTCTAGTCGGGACACCTGAAGAAGCTGTTGCACATTTCTTTGAAGTCACAAAAAGCTTGAAGTATGAAAGTTCATCTGAAAATCAAGCCATGGAGGAATCAAAATTGTTAGTTTGAGAACCTTATGGATAGGCAAAATCCCATGATTTTTTCTATAAATTGGCCATTGATGGTTAAATTCACTTCTTATTCCTGTACCACGATCTCATGATCTCAAATCAACTTGCATTTTTTTAAAGCAGTTGAGTGGGGTTTAGTTCTTGTACATGCCTGTGGATAAGCCAGTTAGGTATAATCATTGTGCCAGTTATGAAATGTTGGGAATGAATCAATATCCTGAGTTTTGTTGTAAACTTGAAGTCTATGCATGCTCGAGTATTTTATTCAGAGTGTTTTTGTCCCCTGTTACCTGGTTGGTAGAAGATATGAGCTGTAGAGATGTTCAAGAGCTTTGAAGTGCAAAAGGATATATGGACTACAACCTAGTATTGGTGTCTATAATGGATTGATTCTTTGATCTTATCAATATAGTCATTGCCACTGGACACAAGCTATTTGAAAGATTGAAATCTTTTGTTTAGCTACGAATACTACTTGAAAAACTGCCATAAAGAGCATTTCTCTAATGTGGTTGACTGCCTTTAATCAGCTTTATCAGTGCAACAAATTTGTGCTAGCTTTATATATTTTAATCTGAGAATATATGTACGTGTTTCTCTGTTGATGGGCCTATTAATGAGATCTCTCTTTCTATAGATGTTTAAGGGATTTTACTTTTACTTTTAACGTGGCATATGTATATTTTAATGTGTTTGTGTTTGTCTGGGGCAGGTGATGTCTTTGAATTTACTTATATAGATAGTTGTTTCTTGATATGGGATTTTGTTAGAGATAATTGGTTAATGATTAATGTTGGATTTTCTGGCCCCCTGGGAGGTATGCATCATTGTGGAATGACATGCATTATGTGGAGATAGTATCATAACAATTGAAGAAACAATTTTATAGACCTCTGGTGAATAAAGCATCCAATTATTCTTTTTTTTTTTTAACATCTACAGGAGGTTCTAAAATTCAAGGCACTATTCCTGAGGTTTTTTTTTTTTTTATCAATGACAAATACAGAAGCAATTTGTAAGCCAACAGGATGCTATGTCTTGCTTTTAGGTTTTTCTCTTTCTTTCATATTGTCAACTTGTTGTTTTGCAGCTAACATAATCCTGCCAGGTGAAGTTGTCCACTCTATATGCAATTTTATTGATTCTTATGAACCTTGAGATCATTGGTTCGCTATTATTCCTTCCTCATCCATCCTCCAACCCCTCCAAAGCTAATGAATAAATCCAAGTATCCAACAAAAGGGAAGACCTAAATCCATTTCCCTTTCTTTTTGTTTTTGTTTTTTTGTTTTTTGTTTATTTCTGTGTTTTTCTTTAGTATGTTAGTTGTCCACAAGAATGTATTACCAGTTTGAAGTTTCTCATGTATTTGTAGGGTAGTTACCACTGTTTAATGTTATTGGCTGGGAGCGTTAATTACTATTTTAATAGCAGGCTAGCAGCTGACCACAGATAAAGAAAATTATCAGTTTACTTCTCGTAAGTAATCTTTTTTGTAGATTTTGATCGCAAGTTGCAGACCTCCAGAGAATTTATGAAGCTGAGGCCCTTCCTGCAAAGGGGAAAACTGCAGGCAGTAATGGTTTTGTCTTCTGTACTTTGAATTTTCTTTCTGGGAGTGTGAATGCTCTCTTGCTGCAAGTTTGTTCGTAAGTTTTTAATAAGCAACTAGTGTGGAACAATGAAATTAACTTGAAGTATAGGTCATTAGGAATTTGATAAGTCTGACTGCCTTTGCTTGATTGATTTATAGCAACCAGCAGAATGAGAAAGAAGGAAAGCTACCATGTTTATTTGGGGCATGGAATTTATGGCAAGATTGCTTGAGAAAAAACAGGATCTTTTATGTATAACAAGGCTTGAGGCTGCTTAAAAAATCTCCTTTCAGCGGCACAAATGAGGTGGGGAAATATCTGCTAGCATGCTTATTGTTGAGAATTTGACAAAGGACTGCTTCCGTGTATCATGATGTCATGGTTAACTTGAGTTATTGCTGATTGCTGAGGTTCTGCACACATTGAATGGTACTATGTGCATTTTATAAGCTCATTTTGCATTCAGGAGCCAATATCTTGAACTCGGTGTGACTAAAATGCAACAAACATTATGAGAATAAGGATTCTGGCAGGTAAGCTACTTATCACAGCATGGTTACATGAGATTTAATAAAAGCTTCTTGGCCATTTATTCATTCCTTCAAGTGTCTGCCTTCCTTAATGCAATGGGCAATTCCTTCCTGATGTTAAGAGATGAAATAGAACATGCAAAGTTCTAGGAATATGGCATAGTTCAACCCGTACGAGAACTGCCTGAATGTTAATTGTTCTGAAATGAAGAAAATCCCATTCTTGAATTGTGATACAATTGGATGTAACTTACAGTCCAGTTTTACAGTTCATGATTCTGCAAACTTTATTATTATTGTTATTATTATTGATATCTTTCCACGTAATAATTGCTTAATTTGAAGAATAAATATCTGACTTTTGGCTGGGATAGTATAATTGTGGGCGATGAACCTAAAAGACAATGGCTTTTCTGCCTTGTTTCCTGGTTCCTCTAGAAGCCTGTTCAAGACTTTTAATCCTGAAAGGATCTCCTCTTTTGACATCAACCCTGCTTTATTGAACCAATATGTAAGTATTCTTCAATGTCAACAACCCATCACTGCAGCAGAAGATTACGCCTCCGGCACATTTGTCTCTATCTGTCCTGCAAAATTGTTGGTTCCTCCCACGTTAAGTAAATATTGTGAATGGTCCTCTTGAATCTTAAAAATCCCATCGTTTTCTTCAGGTGATTCGAGCTTAAAGAAGTAATTTTTGGTTGGATTTGCATTAATTATGGAATAATCTGCAGTTTATGTTAATAATGCTGAAAAAAGAAAAAAGCTTCAGGTCTTTGAACATGACGATACGGATTAGGAAATCTGGATGTTGAGGTTTTATTCTTGTACCCTGAGAGGGGGCCATATAATGCAAGCATTTGATTCAAACATTTGGTTCAATACTAAATGCCTATATGTTTGAACAGGTTTGAATTCCCTTTCCTCGGTCAAGCTTGAAGGCACGTGGGAAACAATTTATGTTGGCTTGGCATAGCCATAAAAATCTTTACCCACCGGAAAACAACGGTCACTAGAACTATTTAGTTCATTTACCCCCAAAAAATTATCTATTCGATCCCTTTCTATCAGATAACTTCACCGCCATAACCCAGGATGTATGTCAAATATATACTGGTACAATGAAAGAAAACCATCGTGCTAATATAAACTAATGGATTTTGATTTGTCACACTCATAAAGTAGATCCCATAATTATATAAAAACAGAAACGTTGTAATGCTCCCTACCCTAATAGTTCAGTGCCTGTATACTTGTTTCATATTCAAGGAGGCAAGCTATCTTAATCTCTTGTCAATCAACAGTTCTACTGCAAAAGCTCTGAATATATAGTTTGATTTGAACAATCTGCAACTTGAAGAAACCCTTCACAAAACTAGCCATAAAACTAGGACAAAAGGTGGGACCTTGGTGTAAAAGAGGAGGGGAGGGAATTGCTTTTATGTGTTTGTTTTAGATTTCTTGGTATGTATGAAACGGTATTAGGGTTTGTAACTTACTTGGGGAAGAAGACAATTATAAGATTGAAATATATCTTTTCATCTTTAGACATTTAAACATTATTAAAAATATATTTTACATACGCGTCATTTTAAGCGCGTTTTGCGCTAAAAAGTATACTATTAAAACACGCTTTAGACAAAAAAGACTCTTAGTGGTTGGACAAAATCTCCTGTAAATCTTTTGATGATATTATTATTATTAAAGAGAATCTTATGAACACGCGATATTTTAAACGTGATTTTTAAATTAAAAAAATAAAAAAATGTTTCTTATTGATCAAGTCATATCTTTCTTGTCTCTGTTATATCATATTAAGAGAATCTGAAGTTGATAAACAAATAATACAATATTCTCAATGATAATAATTAAGAGAACTATTATGTGGTCGAAATTTTCAAGTTTGAGTTCGACTACTCACCAACGATCCCACTGAAATTAGATTGAAATTTGAGAATACTCATTTCTTATCTCTAAAAATATACTTTGTTCATACTAAAATTGACTAAGATCTGAAGATAAAAAAGCATTTATGAGGTAGATACATATTTGAAGGAAATAATTACACAAGAATTTTATTAATCCTATTTGTTCATTAATGCAGATTTTCATGCTTCCTAGCAGATCATCAACCTGTATGAAGTTCTCCCATAAATAACTGTATGCACAACAAAACTACCCTTATGATTAGTTGAAACACTTTTAATATGATTTCCTCTTTCTCCTATAGTTAGAAAGGAGATAATTGCATCTTCCTACTAGCCTACAATGAATCTTCCTGTACACATATTGTCATTTAATTGCAAGCTTAAATGCTGCAAAATTATGCAATATGCATACAAGATAGATACAAATATTAATTAATAGAAAGTTGAGATGAACAGGAAATTGATTGGGAATCGAATATGTACTTCTTAATTATCTCCCATCAACAAAAAATATGGTCTAATTGCCAAGAAATTCTGCACTCTCTCTTAGTTAATTATAGTGCTTAACAAAGAAAATGAAAAGATAGAAGAGTTAGATTTGTTGAAGTTTTGATATTTTATGCTGTAATTTTGATGCTGGAAAGATTAAAGAATCGAATTTTCTACATCTGATATTTCTTAGTCCTCTTGTACCATTGATTTGATCTTTGCTTTAGTGCTATGGCAGCATTTTCTTTCAAGTTCTTTCACCATAATGGAACCTTTGGTTATTGAAAGTAACATGAAGCCAATCCCCAATCTCCTCTACATACCGTCCCCCCCCCCCCCCCTTTCCTTTCTTTTAGATACATGTCTAATCATCTGTTTGACAGAAAATTGTGGAGACTATGAATGTTGCATGTCATGGTTACTTCAGCAAATTCCAAAGGAAACAACTACAGATTTATAAGGAGCCATTAGCCTTATGAACTGCCCCACTCTTTGGTAGTGCTAAGAATTGAACAATTGTTTTACTTTGATGCAATCGCATTGGTTAAAAAATAGTGCTGCAATGACTATAAAGAATATCCATCAGAAAACCTAAAATTCAGCAGCTACTAATAGCGTTAATGGCATCTTCCAAGTACAATCTGGGTAGGTAATTCCAATTCTATTGGCTATGATACTAGCTAGGGAAGAAATTGAATTAATGTCTTAAAAAAAAAACATCATAGAACTATTGTAGGACAAGTACAATGGCTACCCTGGCATCCAACTAGAGGGCATTCTAATGAATCACGAAAGGGGAAATCAGAAGAATAGTAAGCAACTCAATTAGTTTGAGAGAAGCTGATATTGTTATTGACTGCATATGAGAAAGAAAATGATAGAGAAATTATACTGCAGTTTTATAAGGAAAATGGGACAACTCTATGTGGCTATTATCAACTGTTTCAAACTTGGGATTTTATGCATCTTGGAGTAGCCTTGATTTCCATGGCCCCTTAAAGCATCTGTCTCTCCTGGTTACAAGGAAATTGCTTTAAAGTTGTATTAGGTTATTGCAATTCTGCCTAATCTTTGTCAATAATTTTCAACAAAATTATGAACTTTTTATTGAATTGCTTTTTCTTTTTAAGTTCTCACTTCAAGAATCTCACTTTGCCACTTCCTTTTTTTTTCTTCCTACCTTGATAATTGTACATTATATTCTCAATGTCCCACTTTTTTTCTCAAGTTTCCTAGACATTCGAATTCTAGTACATGTATATTTTCCAGGAATTTTATATGATTGACTGAATTTCAATTCTGTATACTTGATACATGCACAGAGATCTATAGCTTTTCTTTATTCCTTAGATTTTGATGTTATAATTTTTCTTAGCATTTAATGATTAATATTTTGTTTTCATTCAAAGGAAAAGAAAATGGGGGCCATGGTGTTTTGCTATAATTAATTCTAAACCAAATATTTATAAATTTTGGAATTATTCTATACAGGTTGTAAGACAAAACACAGGCGGCAAATAATCATTAGACTATCTCTACACTTATATTCATCATATCAATTCAAATTTCAATTTGAACTTAGGAGGTTCATTTTATTCTCTTATATATGTTCTAGAGGATTTACTAGTTTAACACTAATGTTTATAGTTTTTCTAAAAGGAGATCACAATCAAAGAATTGGAAAAAATGTTACAGGTGCAGAGATTTGAATATCAAACTTATTAAATATTATCTTTCAGGAACAAATGCAGAACCAATTAAGTTAAATTTCAAATTTAATGTTTCTAGTCTTTAACATATCTTAGTGTTGATTACATCTGAATTAAAGTGTAGAATGTACATTATCATTACTATTTTATGGCCCTTAATAAACCAAGGCACATACCTATTTTTCATAGTTCCCTTGTTCAACTCACAGGAATCAATACACAACTTCATACTACCATCTTTTTCTTCACAAAGAACACTGGGGCTCCCCATAATATTTTCTAATACTATAAAATTTAATGAAATTGTAACAAATTCTACTATTATGATCAAGCTTGGACTCAAATCTAGGTTACTAATATGCTTCCTGTCAATTTTTTATTCCAAAAAACTAGAAGAGGAAATTCTTTGAGGTTGATAATCCTAGATTTATGAACATAAATAAGAGGTAAAGCTCATTTCATCATAAATGCAGAAAAGAAAGAAATTGGCAGATATAGAATTTAATTTGTTGCTAATTTGGATAGAAAAACAAGAGCAAATGCATATAGCATATAGCATATATGATTCTAAATCCATCTGGCAGTATGAGCAACATTAAATTTGGCCAAAATGATCAAAACAGAAATAATACTATGTAATACTCTGTCCATTGATAGAAAACATTTTAAATGGATTATTGAACCTGCAAGCTGGTTTTTCCCAAGTGGATGGGGTTCCGACACTTGACCTTACTCTGCTAAAGAGTGGTCTAAGTACAACAATGTATGTGTATATACATATATACATATATATATATGTATATATATTTATATATATATATATAGAGAGAGAGAGAGAGGGAGGTACATTAAGTAAGCTAGGGATAATGTTTTTGTTTAAAATATCAGAAAAATTGACCATTTTACAGTGGAAAAAACAAGAATTGCAGAAAATTAAGAGTTGTCCAGGGTAATCCAAAGCTTAAGGATCTTGAAACAGATGGTTTGAAATGTTAAGATCAAAATGGTGGAAGGAGAACTTGACCATTGAGTGGGAGAGGGAAGATTAACCACAGTAATTACTAGCTGTAATTATTTATTAACCCTTGAAGAGGAATCCAATGATGTACTGTAAATCCAAGAACATTATGAAGATGTGGGACAAGATATTATAAAAGTGGGGGATACCACTGGAAACTATGAAATTGGAAAAAAGATTTTAAAAAAGTCCCTAATAATCTTATATTATTTGACATTAGTCCTAAATCCTAATATTTTAAACACAAATAATGTAACATGCCTAATGACTCAGGTGTATTCAAATATATAGCAATAATGGTAATATAAACTCTCCAAATATTTTTTTCTTTAATTTATAATTATAAAGATACAAATACAAATAACTATTTTGCATTCATGAATATATGTACTTACAAAATTTATTTATTTTTGAACTCAAGGCTTTAGTCAATTATTCATACTGTTACCCTTAAGAGTTGATATTCAACATATCTAAAATTCAAATCAAAACACCACAATCTTTATCTTTATCCTCAAGCCGTGGCCTCTTTTATAAAAAAAAAAAAAAAAAATTATTATTTTTTTGTACCTTTTAGTAATCTACACTAGATCATTATTCAATATTATGGTATGTCATAGAGAGGCAACCACTCAATCATTTTTCTCCTAATAATTTAAGGTATTATCTCCACCTAATACTAAATGTTGAAGAAGATCCAATACATTTTATCTAAAATCATTAAAAAAAATTTGCTGGAACAGTTGAAATACATTATTATAATAATCATTTGCATCCATATACATATACCTGGAGAATAGTTCATGGAACAAACTTGACTGCATTTGACAAATTACTAATTAAGTCATAACTTGAAATAAAAAGGAAACATATATATAAGAAAAAAAAAAAGCCACTTACCCTCTTCAACTCCAGTTTTTTTTATATATATTGCCCCATTTCCCGCTTTGATACTCATTTAAAACAATAAACACAGTGCTGATCATCATCTAGCTATCTATAAAATCACCAATATTATCTTGATCCAAGGAGGAAATGATTGCGCTTTCGAGTAAGATGGAGCTTTGACATGATGATGTAGAAGCAAACTGATTCAAACTCTTGTAATTTTATTATAGGACCTGAAATAAGACAAATGAAATGATCATGAAAGGAGTAAATCATGAGATTAATAAGCTTGATCAAATTTGGGTTTTTAGAGCTAATTTGAAAAGATATGGTGGTGAAATTTGTTAATAACTTGGGGTAATTTCACATCATAGATAAGCATAATTATGATGTTTTTGCAGAGTTATTTTTTTTTGTCACATTGCTTGAAACTAATATTAGCTGCAAAGCATTTGTTGGGTTAATAAAATAGGGGAACAATTAGCAATTTTTTGATGAGGACAAAAGAAAATCTGATTTCAGGCAAACACAGGTCAATTGCATATAGAATTATTAACAAAATAAAATTAGGACATTCATATAATGGCTTATCTTATCTTCACATAAAAAACAAAGACAATGAATAAGCATTTGGGTTGATCCTACTGTCCTGAAACATTCAATCATGAATTTTTCTCAAGATTATATGAAAAGGACATAAATATATATTTATTTATACATATAATCCAAAGTGTTATGGCCATTCATGGAGGACACAAGATAGCGCAGAATCCTAAAGGAGCCAGAACTCACTAGAGAAAAAAGGAAGCTTGAAAATGGGAATTAATATTAAATTTGGAGACCATTAAAATTATTGAGATTTTTGCATGTGAGAGAGAGAGTTAGAGGGAGAAAACAAAAAGAAAAGCAAAGAGAGGAAGAAGAAGAGCTTCTCATTATCATAGCAATTAATGTTTGTTATTGATATTAAGGTAAAGTTACTAAGTACTGTCATTGTGTCTTGTCTTTCTTAAAGTAAACTACTATACAAATTAGGGTTTTCAAGGCCTTTGCCTCTAGGGTTTATCATCAATGAATAATAGTAAGGCCTAAAGGTCAATATTGTATACAGGCTTTTGTAATAAAAAAAAAATTGTTCTTTCTTTCAATATTTTTTCCGAAGTATTTTTCAGCTTAACTAAAGTAATCAGCTGACAATTAAAGCTTATTTTATCTATTAATTAAAGTAAAGTTCAATTATTTCTTGTGTTTTCATTTCATGAAGTCAAAGTTTTATGCTGAGCTAACTCAGCGATGACTGTGCTGAAGAAAAAGAAAAAGTAATTACCACTTTTATGAGGGAAAACCAGAGAGAAATCAAGATTGCTGAATAGGGAAGCTTGAGCTATCTTCATTGGTCTTCAATGGATTTCTCTTCTTCTTTTTCTTCTTATACGGAATTCCTCGAGCTTTAGCTTGGGAATCCCTCACTTCACGAAGGTAAATTCGGATAGCACCACTAGCAAAAGGGTTGGTTTCAGGCAAGCCACCATTCTCTTCATAAGCAGCTCGAAGTCGTCCGATGAGAGCATCGAGGCTACCCCAAGCTTGTCTTAAAGGGCATGTACAAGGCCCTGGTGGTTCAGGTTGCCCAAAGAACACGCAACCTTGTAAGTGCACTTTAGTCTTGCCAAATTGATCAAGGTAACGAAGGAAATCAAGCACATGATTGGCGTTACACTGAGAAAGAGCAACTGGTGGCCTTTGGTTCCTTAAGTACTGACCGAAAGTGTTCCAATCCCTTCTTTTCTGTGACTCATACCGGCTTAAGGGAGGAGGATTTTGCTGATGATCTGCAGCAGAAGCAGCAGCAGCAACAGCTGTTGATCTTGAAGACCCTTCAGCTATTTCTTTTCCTTTGTTGATTGACATCATTGTCTCTAGTACTATTTTCCTAGACAAAGAAGAAGGAAAAGAATCTTGGGAAGAAAGGGTGGAAGAAGGAAACAGAAAAGAAAAGAAAAAAATTTGCAGAAGAGAGGAAAATGAAGATCAATCAATGGGGCTACTGAGGGGACAAGCTATGGGTCCTATGAAAGTGCTTTAGCTCTTCTTTTTCTTGCTGTCACATTATTTTCTTCCTTTAATTGTACTATTAGCATTAACTATACTTTTTTCTATATATTTATAATTATGCTTCCATCATCCAAGCAATCATTATCCAGTACATTAGCGTAATTAGCACTACGTTTTAAAAATTCTGACCAGGTTTTTTCACTGTGAATTAAACCCGAGTTAGAGTGAGTTGATTAATCAGAATTTTCCAATTTGGGACGCAAAAATTGGACAGCATAGAATCTATGATCTTAGAGAATAGGATTATAAGATGAGAAGGATTGCATTAATTATATTCTCCCATCTCTACCAGCAACTTTTATGTTGATGGAAAACAATTAATCACTTAGAAATTGAGAAACAAAATACTTCAAATAGGTAAAGAACGATAATAATAATAATAATAATAATAATAATAATAATAATAATAATAATAATAATAATAATAATATAAGGATTGCATTAATTATATTCTCCCATCTCTACCAGCAACTTTTATGTTGATGGAAAACAATTAATCACTTAGAAATTGAGAAACAAAATACTTCAAATAGGTAAAGAACGATAATAATAATAATAATAATAATAATAATAATAATAATAATAATAATAATAATAATAATAATAATAATAATAATAATAATAATAATAATAATAATAATAATATTATTATTATTATTATTATTATTATTATTATTATTATTATTATTATTATTATACTGTTAGGAATATTCTTAATTTTGCTTGAATTTAATTTTTTTTCTTTTGAACAATTTTAAGAATGTATCGAAAAACAATACTACTTAATAATTAAGCACATGTTGATCTTTCTAATTCTCACTAGAGCAATGAAATGATAGAGCAAATATTGAAAAACTGAAATTACTATTTTTAGTAAATCTAAAATTTTAAGAAAAGACTTTCAGATGTGTAACGGTGTCACTTTTTTTAAGATTTTGTTTGCTCTCATAGTATTATTTACTTAGTAAGTGTGCAAAAGAATTGCGAGCAATAAATCTTGAGGATAAAATAAAATCCAGTGATTAACTGAGTTTTGCACTAAACGAAATCAATCCACCAAGCAATCACCGGTATATCACAAAATCATTAAATTTCTATAAAAGTTTTATTATAAAAAAAATGAAATTTTAAGAAAAAATGAGAAGTTTCAATAATTATTTTTGTATATTTTTAGAAAGCCAGAAAAACCTTTTATAAACAAATAAGTCTCATTTTCTATAGACATGACTATCTATTTTGAATAGGCAAAAATTGTCTAGTTTTGAACAGTTGAAACTGTTCATTTTGAATAGACTTAACTCTTTGTTTTGAACAAACTTAACTATTTATCTTTTTTTTTCTTTTTTATTGTGGGATTATTTTTCATATTTTATTTTGAAAATCTCTAACAATCCCCCGTCATTTTCAAAATAATTTAGATTTATGATGACCTTTGAAATCAATTGCATAAATAAAGGTATCTTCCGATTTGAACATTCACTTAATGAAAATAAGTTAAAGTTAACCGAAATCATATAGTAGTCTACACTTTGAACCAATTATTCTATTTGGTTGACTGAACTTATCTCACACAATGATTTCAACACCCAATGAATGCTTGGTATTCGGTGACACATTTATAGCCCTGTGTTAGTATCTTTTTTTCATAAATGCTGTTAGAGTCAAGCTCTTAAGCTCAAAAAATGGTAACATTTCACACTCACATAAGTAGCTCCCATATAGATTGTTCCCATAACTATAACACACTAACATATTTATGTTATGGGTTTATTAAGAGTATATTACTCATTCTTTCTTTACCATTACGAGTATGTGACACTTTACTTGGGACGACATTAAATATTACTATAGTGCTAGCAGTCACATACAGATGATGGACTTTATCTCATTGAACTCAAGATTTGATGTTATATCAAGTGTTGAGTTAAATTGAGTTTCCATCATGGGTGACTTTACTTGATGAGCTTGAGCCCTATCCCTATTAAGGTCTTTTTTATCAACTCTCTAGCAAGACTTTTGATCCATCAAAATTTCACTTAACCTCACATAATTTATAATAATGACTCCATCTGAAATTAATTGTCGAACATAGCTATGTCTTAATTTAATATGTCTAGACTTTCCATTATATACTTGGCTATATGCCCTTGCTAGAGTTGTTTCACTATCACATTGGATAAAAATTGAAAAAATTGGTTTAGGCCATAAAGGTACTTCATATAATAAATTTCTTAGCCATTCAGCTTCTTTAACTGTTGCGGCTAATGCAATAAACTCAACTACCATTGTGGAATTTGTTATACATGTTTATTTCTTGGAACCTCAATAAATGGCACCCGCACCAAATACAAAGATCTACCCGTTTGTAGAAGTATGATATTCCATATTAGTAATTTAACTAGCATCAAAATATTCTTCTATAACTAAAGGATATCCATTCAAACACAATTCATAATTGATTGTTTTTTTTAAATATCGAAGTAGTCTTTTAACTGTTTGTCAATGCAAGTTAGTTGAATTACTTGTGTACTTACTCAATTTTCCAATAGCAAATGCTATGTTTGGTAGTGTACAAGTCATTGCATACATCAGATAATAAATTACTCTTGCATATTGCAATTGATTGATTGCTCTACCAGTATTAGATACTAATTTCAACTGAGAATCCATGGGTGTAGATATTGGAATACAATAAAAAAGATCAAATTTTTTAAGTATTTTTTCAATATAATGCGATTGTGACAAGGTTATGCCACTGTCATTCTAGATTATACTAATTCAAGAATAACATCCACTACACCCATATTTTTCATTAAAAAGTTATTTGATAAAAATTTTTTTATTTCCTTATCTTGTTCTGAATCAATGCCAAATATTAGCATATCGTTCATATATAAGTAAACTATGACTCCTTTTCCGTTTTCAAATTTGCTATATATGCACTTATATGACTCATTAATTCTAAAACTATTAGCAAAAATGATTTTATCAAACTTTTGATGTCATTGTTTTAGTGCTTGCTTAAGTCTATAGAAGGATTTTACAAGCTTACAAATCTTTTGCTCACTTGGAATGATAAATCTTTTCGGTTGTTCTATATATACTTTCTTTTCTAATCCACCATTTAAAAATGTCATCTTTACATCTATTTGATATATAATCAAATTATAAATCGAGACAAATAAAATTAGAAGTATAATTGTAGCAATTCTAGCTACTGGAGCATGAGTATCAAAGCAGTCTATCCCTTACTTTTGTGTAAAATCCTTGGCTACCAACCTTGCTTTAAATTTCTCTATGGTTCCATCTACATTCATTTAAAAAAAAAATCCATTTATAGCCTATTGGATTAGAACCTGGAGGAAGGTCAACCAATATCTGAGTGTTATTTTTCATTATTGAATCCATTTCATCATTTATTGCTTCTCTTCAAAAAGCAAAATCTTGAGACTTCATTGCCTCTTCATATGTAACAAGATTAGACTCTGTATTAAAACAATAAGAAATTTTATTATTTATGCTTTCACCAATCTTTTCCACAAAGAACATAAAGAAATCTGGTTCCAAATCTTTTACCTTTCTAACCAATTTACTTGGCCTTATTTCTTGACAAAATTCATCACTAATTTTAGTTTGTGCCAATGGATTTGGAATTTTTTTTTCATTTGTAGGATGAATTGCTTGTAGTTGTCTTGAAATAGGTTTAAATCTATTTTCATGAAAAATTGCATCTATTGATTCAATAACAGTGTTAACTAAAATTAAATCATTTGGTTCAATAACTGTGAACCTATATGTTTTATTATTTTGTGCATATTCTATAAATATGTATTATATTCCTCTTTCACCTAACTTTTTCCTTTTAGGTTCTAAAATTTTAACTACAGCTTGACATCCCCAAACCTTTAAATAATTAAGATTTAGTTTTCTTTTCTTCCATTGCTTATCTGGGGTTATTTTTGTTTCTTTGTTAGGAATTCTATTTAGTATATGACAAGCCATTAATAAAACTTCACCCCAAAATCTTTGTCCAAGACCAGAATATGATAACATTGTATTTATTATTTTTTGTTAAGATCATGTTCTTCCTTTCAGCTACACTATTCTATTGTGGTGTATAAGGAGCAGTAACTTGGTAGATTATTTTGGTGCATTGAAAGTAACATAGATTACAATATTCTATACCCCTATCCGACCTCAAGCACTTGATAAAAAATTTACATTCAAGTTCAACTTTAGATTTATATATTTTAAACTTTCAAGTACTTCATTTTTGGAATATAACAGATAAGCATAACAATATCCAATACAATCTTCTATAAATGTGACAAAATATTTCTTTTCAGATAATGAAGGAGTGCTATGCATATCACAAATATCACTGTAAATTAACTCAAGTAACTTTATATTTCTTTTAACTTTAGAAAAAAGATTTTTTGTAATCTTATTCAACATGTATGTATTACATTTATTAATGTCTTGACTAAATTCAATAATTAAAAAAAGCTTACTCATATCATGCAATTTTTTATAATTTAAATGACCTAATCTATAATGCCATAAATATGAAGATTTAACCATGTAAACAAAAATAATATTTTTATTTTTATTAATAATATTGAGTTTGAATATTCCCTCATACATATACCCTTTTCCAACAAAAACTTTTCCTTTAGACAGAATAAATTTATCTACATCAAATACAAGTTTAAAACTAAACTTGTTCAATAAACTTTCAAATACTAAGTTTTTCCTAACTTCTAGTACATAATAAACATCATATAAAGTTAGAGTTTTTTCAGAAGTGAATTTAAGATCAATAGTACATTTGCCTTTGATTATTCTGTAAAAGAATTTCCCATGTAAAGGAGACTATCATATTCATTTGGTTTGAATGTTGTGAACATGCTTTTATCCTTACACACATGTTTTGTTGCCTTAGAATCAACTGACGAAGATTCATCATTTTCAAGCATGTTGATTTTGAAAATCATGGCACCAAATTTTTAAAAGTATCCCCTTTTAAGGAATTATTTTTCGTTTGTAGCA